TGATTTGGCCTCTCTACTAAGCCAATGGTGACCAGTTTTCAAGAAACCCTTTAGGCGATGATTTTTCTATCCTTTGCTAGCCTCAGGATTTCTAAAGGGCACAGAAATCCCATAATCGAGATCTGTACACGAAATTTTCTTAATTGGTTAGGTATGTGGTTGCATTCGAACAATATAGTTTTAATTTGAATGCTCACCAATACACTTATAAATCGAGTCAAATTAATAAAAGATCTAAATAAAAAGCAATTTAAAGCATAAAAATAAATTGAAGGATTGATTCTTTAACATGGCCTCAACCCCAAAGAGAAAAATTAACGACCTGCATGTCAAAATTTATACTCAAAGTTAATTTTTATTCCCCCAAAAGTTAAAATTTTATATTTTAAAAAATGAGAATAATTTATTTTTATATAATTTGCAAATTGGTAATCAATTATTAAGCTCACTTCCATAATAGGTTTCGCTCAATTTACTTTAGCTGCCTAATTGATGTTTTTGCTAAAAACTTTAAGCTGTATTATGAGAAAATAAGGATTCTATTTCTCTCAACGAACCTGACTCCGTCATTAAATTTACAAAAATAAAGAAATAAATTCTTTTTAATTATATAAAAAAAAATATCGTTAGTTTTATTGTTAATTGTCTTAATTATGTCTATGAAATTTTATATTCAACGAATTTATTGCCAATCATAGTCAATTAACAGTATGTTTGGGAGTACTTTTAATTAACTATACGTGTTAAGCAAATCACAATCAAATATGTGAACAATAGCAAAACTTTGTTATGCCATTTAACCTCACAATTTGAAACATCGTCAAGGTCTGATAAAGCAGCTCATTCAATCCAACTTAGGATTTATCAAGCAAAAATCATTTATATTCGGAGAAAAATAATTCTTTGTTAAAAATTTGTTTTGCTACACTGAAAAATAAAAATAAAAGAAAAATAAAAGCAATTTGCTATCAGTTTTGCAATACTAGATGGTTGACTTGTCTTCCTTCACATTCTTCCAGTAGAAAGCCTTTCTTCAGAAAAAGGTTATATCGAAGCCACCTAACCTATATAATAATAATAAATAAATAAATAAAATAAATATTAAAAAAAATCACAGTATATTACGTGAAAACATTGTTTGTGCAAGTGTTTGGTTCAAAATGTAAGGAAAAATAGTGAAATAATTACAGGACGTACGTACCCAAAAATCAATCCTCTAATACTCACGCTGTTGTACTATCATCAGAATGTTCGCAAAGCACGAAAAACTAATGAGCAAAACAACACGACAAAAGGAGGCAAAGAAAATAACAAAAATATTAACATCCTATCGATAGGATTAGAATATATTCCTGACTACTTTCCGATCCATAGGGTGAAAACAATAAGCACTGCAATTATCATAGCATTCCTCACTGCTATCGACTTCTTTGGGAAAAATGTGGAAAAGTAATATGAAAGATATTGTTCTGAAAGTAGGAATATAAATTAACACGATCTTTAGTATCTTATTGATAGGAAAAGAAAACATTCCCCAATACTTCTCAACCCATAAGATGAAAACAATTGCCTTTGTTGTCATGAAAACATTCCCACCACTATCAACACCTTCTGCGAAAAGTCAAAAACTAATATTATAAATAATGTGACAAGAGTAGGCAGACAAAATAACAAGAACTCTAAGAATATTAACATCTTGTTGATGGAAAGCGAAAACAATAATAAGCAACCGTATTTGTAAATGTAAAAATCAGGAGCTGAAGCTATCAATGATATATAGGCGCTTGAGTTGTTGGTTTTTATTAATATACTGATAAGTGTATTTTATACACTTATTCGATATCTTAAATAGCGATATTTAATGGTTCTTTTGACAAATTATATTCTAAATTTTTGTCTTTTATGTTTAATAGGTGAAATTTTATGAAGGAAAAGAAATTGAAGGAATGAAGTGAAAAAAGAGCGAAATCCAAAAGTTGGGGACCAAGTTGTAACAATTCAATAGTTGATCCAGATCATGAATCGAAGATTGAAATGTTTGAAGGTCAAATTGAATATTTTGGAAGGTGAATGACTTGAATTGAATCAAAGAAGACATGGGTTGCAAGAATAAAAAAAATTCAAGGATTGAATTGCATTATTTTGGAAGATGGAGGACTTAAAGAATAATTTAACTATTAATGATATCAATTGGTGGCTGATTTGACCCCTACATGCATACATGAATTAAAGTTCTTATAAAAGTGACTGCAGACATTGGTTGGCAGAGGAATTAGAATCTTTTTTAGAGTCTTTTTTTAGTCAACAAAAGTGGCTCTAGATTTTGATATATATATATATATATATATATATATATATATCCATCCACAGAAACGTTGGAGAGAATTAGGGAGTAGCCAATTGATGTATCTCGTAAAAAATTGAGGCATATACGCACAGAAATCGAAGCAAGAAAGAATCCCTTTTTCTTTGGTCAAATTTGGTGGCTAATTAATTATTTTTGGAGAGAGATATACATACCAATGCGGAGAAGAAGGGAGTTTTTGGAGAGAGAAGTCCTTTGACAGAGAGAGAAGAAAATTGAGACAACCAACACTTTCTGCAAAAAGAGGTTATTGACATAGACGGGTCCTTTGGAGAGAGAATATATGAGGCAGTTTTGAAAGAATTAATTGGAGAAAAACACGCAACAGATTCAATTTTACAAATTATTCACGTTCAGTCAATTAATCTGGTGATGTCTTTCATAAATTCTTGTTTTTCTCTCATTAATATACGTAGTTAAATTAAATTTTATGGCGAACAATGTAACTGATTTGAGACCTTTATTTCTTTTATTTGAGATTATTGTTATTTTATATTTTAGGTGTGGATTTTAATTATGTTTTTAATACTTTGAATTTTCTGGCCAATTATTCAATGATTTCATGAACAATAATTACGTAGAGTAGCGGATTCTTGTATAGACCACATATTAAAATTCGGTAGATTGATATAATGTGTAGAGATATCTATATTAATTGCTGCGGTCATATAGAAATTCTTAGAACTGTTATTTCGTCTAATTAAATTTAATTTGCATAGAGATATGAAATTGAACTAATTAAATAGACTCAACGAAAACTCGAGAGGGATAAGTTGAATACAATAGAAGAACTCGACCGAACACTACTTTAGTTTTATGAATTTCGATATTAGAAATAAAGGTGACTAATAGGTAAATTTGGTCCGCCCTAATCTCCATTTATTAATTGAATTCTCGCTCATTTTCTGTTGCATTCACGAAAATTTTAGTTGTTAGATTTAAAAATCACATTTAATCATTTTTTTGTTTATTTTTATCAAATAGAAGTTAGGAATAATAAATTGAGTACTAAAGTATAGTCCTCATGAGAACGATAATTCGGACTCAAAAAGTTCAATTTACTACTTGTTATGATCTGTCCACTTGCGGGATAAAATCCGCAACAAGTTTTTGACACCATCGTCGGGGACTATTATTTTTAGTCTTAATTATTTTATTTTATTTATTTTTTTATTTTTTAATTGTTATTTGATTTGCTTATTTTCTTTTATTTACAGAAAACTGTGTTCGTTGTATACTCCATGTCCAAAGCGACGATCTTGAACCGTTTGATTCGGAAATAGAACGTACTTTCAGACGAAGACGCAGGGAACTCAAACAAAAATAGCAACATCAAATGTCTGACAATCTAAACAATCCTATCCCTATACAACAATTGGAAAAATGACCGAGAGAGCTCAACAGCAAGAGCAAAGGAAAGTAAATGAATGGGACTTGCCAGTCCGTGCGGTCCAGCATAGTATATCCAGATTTTGGGGTAAACAACTTCCAAATATGGGCTGATTGGATTAATATGATGAGTAACACTCTGCAATTCTATGGGTTGCCTCATGAGAATCCAAACACACATATCTCCAGATTTCTCAAAAATTGCCAAAATTGTCATGCTCCCAGAGTTAATGAGGATGCCATCAAACTACGATTATTTCCATATACACTGAGAGATGCAACATTGGAATGGTTGGATTCTAAACCGGATGGAAGTATTACCACATGGGAGGAACTAACAAGGAAATTCTGAAAAAAAATTCTTTCCACTAGTTAAGGTAGCAAAAATTAGACTGAAAATTCAAACTTTTCAACAGAGAGATGGGGAGAACTATCACGAGGCATTGAACAGATTTAAGGAGTTGATGAAGAAGTGTCAAAATCATGGGATCACTATTGGAAATCAAGTGTAGCATTTCTACACAGGACTTTCACTATAGTCCAAATCTCAAGTGGATTCCTTTGCAGGCGGATCGATCATAGGGAAATCAGTGCAACAATGTATGGATCTGTTTGAATTGATTGCTACTACTCATTCTATGTTTTCATCAGAAAGAGTGGTGCCTCCAAAAGTAGCGGGAATTTATGAATTGGACAGCATAGCATCTACCAACGCCCAAATAGCAGCATTGACAAAACAAGTAGAGTTATTGGTCAAGTCACAAACAAAAAGAGCACATGCAGTGATAACTGGCCCATCCTACGAAAACTGCAGGGCAAATCACCTAATAGAGAATTGCAATCTATGGGCTTTCCGAAGGAACAAGTCAACTTCGTTCAAAATGACTCTCGAAATTTTAATCCCTTTTCACAAATATACAACTGGGCTGGAGACAACACCCAAACTTCAGATGGTTGGATAATCAGAAAGGGAATAGTTCAAACAATGCACAACAGGAGAAAAAATCAAGTTTAGGGGAGATGTTCAACCAGTACATGCAGAAGACAGACAAGGTATTTCAGCAGATTGACACTAACTTTCAGAATCAGCAAGCATCCATTAAGAAGCTAGAAACTTAAATTGGTCAGATAGCTTAACAGCTTGCAGAACGCCCACAAGGGATATTGCCAAGCAACACATTGGTTAACCCAAAAGAGCAAGTGCAAGCTATTACAACTAGAAATGGGGTGCAACTTCTAGAGATACATGTGAAGAGACCAAACAGAAAAGATAAAGAAGTAATGAGTGAAGAGATTGGGACAGAAGCAGAATCTGAACAACCAACTAACGAGGAGGATAAAAGAAAAGAAGCACTCACAGTGAAGGCACCTAGCCCCGTGAAAGCTTATGTGCCACCAATTTCCTTCCCTTAAAGGCTACAGAGAAAGAAGTTGGACAAGCAGTTTGCCAAGTTTGGGGAGATTTTCAAGAAACTGCACATCAATATTCCGTTTACAGATGCAATTGCCCAAATGCCTAGTTATGCTAAATTCTTGAAGGGGATCCTATCTAACAAAAGGAAGTTGGAAGAATATGAGGCAGTCTGCCAAAATGAGGAATGCAGTGCAATTCTATTGAAAAAGCTACCTCCTAAACTAAAAGACCTAGGGAATTTCACAATACCTTGCACGACTGGCTCTAATTATTTTGAACATTCTTTATGTGATTTGGGTTCCAGTGTTAACCTTATGCCTCTCTCTATTTATAAGTCTCTTGAATTAGGAGAAATAAAATATACAACCATCTCTTTACAACTAACTGACAGATCGATCAAACGATCGAAGGAGATTATTGAAGATGTGCTAGTCAAAGTTGACAAATTTATTTTTCCGGCTGACTTCATTATTTTGGATATGGAAGAGGACTTAAACATTCCTCTAATCTTGGGAAGACCCTTCTTGGCTACTGGAAGAGCACTGATTGATGTTTATGATGGAAAGATGATTCTTCGGGTGGACAATGAGCAAGTTATATTCAACGTGTTCAAGGTAATAAAACATCCATTGACTTTCAACACTTGTTGCCAAATAGATGTTCTTGAAAAGCTTGTGGCAAATACATTTGAGACAGAGCATCACACAAATCTTTGCGAGGCAAAACTTGCACAACCAGAAGCAACAAATGCAGGAAAAGCTGAATGTGTTGTCAACTTGACCGAGCAACCAATAGGAAGGAGACATTGGTAATATGAATCTCTTGATGACAACCCTTCACCTCGGTACCTTCAGTGGAAAAGACACTCACTCTTGAACTAAAGCCCTTGCCTTCACATCTCCATTATGCATATTCAGGAGACTCCACAACACTTCCAGTAATCATCGCGAATGATATGACAAGAGAAGAGGAGAATAAATTGTTGGAGATACTCAAGTAGCACAAGATTTTAATGGAGCTAAACAATGCCACCAGAAAGGACTATTTTTCATTGCCATTCATTGATCAGATGTTGGAAAGGTTGGCAGGACATTCTCATTATTGCTTTCTGGACGGATATTCAGGATACAATCAGATAGTTATTGCTCCAGAAGACCAAGAGAAAACACCATTCACATGTCCTTATGGAACTTTTGCATTTAGAAGGATGCCTTTCGGTCTATGGAACGCACCTACAACCTTTCAACGATGCATGATGACCATATTCTCTGACATGATGGAAAACTACATCGAGGTATTTATGGATGATTTCTCAGTGTTTGGGGATTCTTTTCATGATTGCTTTGAACGACTATCGCTTGTATTACAACAGTGTGAAGAGAGGAATCTGTGAAATTTATTGGAAAATGATGTGTCATTTCACTTTTCTGATGAATGCTTAAAGTCCTTTAATATTTTGAAAGAAAAGTTAACTTCTGCACCTGTAATAGTAGCACCTGATTGGGATTTACCTTTCGAACTTATATGTGATGCTAGTGAGTTTGCAGTGGGAGCAGTGATTGGCCAACATAAAGGTGAAGTGTTACATGTAATCTACTATACCAACAAAACCTTGACAGATGCTCAGATCAACTATGCAACAACAAAAAAAGAGATGCTAGCAGTGGTCTTTGCCTTTGACAAATTTTGTTCCTATCTGGTTGGTTCAAAGGTGATAGTCTACACTGACCATGCAGCATTGAAATATTTGTTTGAGAAGAAGGATGCTAACCCTAGGCTGATTCGATGGGTTCTGTTACTACAAGAGTTTGACATTGAAAGTTGTGATAAAAAGGGTACAGCAAATCAGGTAGCGGATTATTTATCAAGGCTAGAGCAATTGCGTGATTCAGATGACATGGATATTAATGAGGTCTTCCCACATGAACAGTTATTACAGATAGAAAAAACTTCGTAGTATGCAGACATTGTTAACTACTTAGCTAGTGGCAATATGGATCCTGATCTCACCTATCAGCAGAAAAAGAAGCTGCTTCATAAAGCAAAATTTTATTATTGGGATGATCCAAATTTATACAGGAGATGAGCAGACCAGATCATTAGGAGATGTGTGCCAGAGGATGAGATGAAATCGATCCTTTCACGAGTTCATTCTTCGACTTATGGAGGACACTTTGGCCCCACTAAAACAGCAGTAAAGGTGCTTTAATGCGGTTCCTTTTGGCCTACACTGTTCAAGGACTATTATAGTTTCTGCACGTCATGTGATATATGTCAGAGAATAGATAACAAATCAACGTGTCACGAGAAGCCACTTAACAATATTTTGGAGGTAGAAATATTTGATGTTTGGAGGGTTGATTTTATGGGTCCCTTTCCATCATCTTATAACAATCGGTACATCCTAGTAGCAGTGGATTATGTCTCTAAATGGGTAGAAGCTAAAGCATTGCCTACAAATGACGCAAGGGAGGTGGTGGACTTCATAAAGAAACACATCTTTAACCGCTATGGATCACCTATGGCCATAATAAGTGATGGTAGAACTCACTTCCGCAATCAGTTATTCCAGACAATGCTGCATAAGTATGGGGTACAACATCGAATTGCTACTCCTTACCACCCTCAGACAGGTGGACAGGTGGAAACCTCGAACAAACAATTGAAAAGAATTCTGGAGCTCACTGTGAATGCATTTAGTAAGGATTGGTCAAAGAAATTAGACGATACTTTTTGGGCATATCGCACTGTTTACAAGACACCTATTGGTATGTCTCCATATCGATTAGTCTTTGGAAAAGCATGCCACCTACCAGTGGAGTTTGAATATAGAGCATACTGGGCATTGAAACAGTTAAACATAGACCTCGAAAAGGATGGAGAAACAAGAATACTGCAGCTACATGAATTGGAAGAATTCAGAAGAGAAGCATATGAGAATGCAGCCATCTACAAGGAAAGGACGAAGCAGTGGCATGACAAGAACATCAGGCAAAGAATTTTTTGAGTGGGAGATCAAGTGCTTTTATACAATTTCAGACTTAAACTATTTCCAGGAAAGTTGAAATCTAGATGGTCCGGCCCTTTTACTGTCTCTCAGGTGTTTTCCTACTGCATAGTTGAATTACACCATTCAACAAAAAGAAACTTCAAAGTAAATGGTCAACGTATCAAGCACTACGTGGAAGAATTTCCCACCGCTAAAGAGAGTCTTGACCTAACTATACCAGAATAATAGCAGCACAAAGTCTAGTTAATAACTTAAAAGAAGCGCTTATTGGGAGGCAACTCAATTTTCAAATTTTTTATTTTACTTTTTGTATCGCATAGCATATAGTTTTGTTTTGTGTACTAAGTTGCATTATATTTAGGCACGTTTCAATTTTTAGGAGTCATCACCCATATCCCTTCCACCCTCAGACCCTTGAATTTATTGTTGGTTATTTTGATTGTTTGAGCTAAGTAATCCTTGTTCCCTATATTTAATTTGTCAAATTTGATTTTTCAGGAATTTGATGTCGTGAAACACTCAAACCAACATAGATCCAAGGGAAAGCATGATGAAGAATATTATCCAGCCGTCACACGTAGTGCCTCATAAATTTAACAAAAAATTTGGGGAGTACCTTCTTCATTTTCTTCTCTACCCCATTTTTGTGATTATTAATGCTTTACGACATTAAGAACAATGTCAATTTTAAGTTTGGGGGTGAAAACTTTTTATTTTTTATTTTTTGTATGTTTGTTTAAAAAAAAGAAAAAAATCGAAAAAAAATCTCTTTTGTACAGTTGTGTGCTTATGTGGGTTAGACAGTTTGGCTGACAATGATAATTTAATTTGAGATTTGGTGTTGATTTATGAATTATAGATATGATGCATGCTAGACTAATTGAAACTCAACCTTGCAAAATTTGATATTACAATCGCACTAGAATTGAGTTTGACATTGTGATTAAATGAGTTGTTTCTTGTTTTTAATAGGTTAATCTAGTGGGACATAGATGTTTTACCTGAGCCACACTAAATTATTTATCCTTAGAACAAATTTAACATAGTTTGGGGGTGACTTTACAGTTCTATGAAGATGCGGATGTGAATGTGGATTCCATGTGTGAAAAATTTATGTACGGATTATCTTAAACTAACATGATAAAACTCTGCGAAAGTCTTAAATTAAAGGTTGATTTGTTTGAATAAGTATGTGATAAGGGGCATTGCACTAATCAAGACATATACATTTAAAAAATTTAAACTTCTATCTGAAACCTTTATGACTCGAGTGATTAAATCTGTAAGGGTATCTTAAAACCTAGTCCCTAAAGTCGTCTGACTTGAGAATTATCGACCTAAAGCTCATTACAAAGGTCATTTAGAAAGTAATTAGAGACGAAGTTGCACTTGAAAAAAATATTTTGTTTTCTTCGAAGTCTTTTTGACTCGGGTCAGTAAGCTTGTAAGGGTATTTAAAAACCTGGTGCCTAAAATCATCTGGTTTGGGAGTCATCGACCTAAAGCCTGCTATATGGGTCATTTAAAAAGTTTAATGGAAAGAATAGGAGAGAATATAAAAAAGTAATACTTTTGAAAAACAAAAAAAGCAAGTGCATGAAAAGAACAAAAGTATTAAATACCTTGGTTAAGCCCTAACATTTATTTGTGGGAATTTGACTTTTGATGCAAGATAATTAGTTAGTTGAGTCTTAGATGTCGAAACAATCAAATAATTGGAGAATCCTCGTTCACTAAAGTGTTAATTTGCAATTATTAATATCCACCTAAACTCGAGCGAGTGAGGATAGTAATGAAATATTCAATTTTAGATTACACACTGGGAAAGAGTGAAAAATAGTAAGTTTGGGGGTGTGTGAATTTTATGAGTGATGAAAGGACATAGATGACCATTAAGGGTCGGGAATTGAAACAAAAATTTCAGTCATGATTGATTACTCGATTCTTCACACACATGTCAATTTTTGTATTGGAAGATTGGATATCAATTTTGTACTGTGACTTTGAAACATGTTTATAGAGTAAACACTAAATCTTGAATCTTGAGGTGAGAAGTTAGATTGTCCAACCAAATATTTTTGCATGATTGTGTATCTATTACTATTTAGTTTATAGTTTTGTTTGAGGACAAACAAATGTTTAAGTTTAGGGGTATTTGATAAGTGTATTTTATACACTTATTCGTTACCTTAAATAGCTATATTTGATGATTCTTTTCACAAATTATATTCTAAATTTTTGTCTTTTATGTTTAATAGGTGAAATTTTATGAAGAAAAAGAAATTGAAGGAATGAAGCGAAAAAAGAGCGAAATCCAAAAATTGGGGACCAAGTTGTAACAATTTAATAGTTGATCCGGACCATGAATCGAAGATTGAAATGTTTGGAGGTCAAATTGAATATTTTGGAAGGTGAAGGACTTGAATTGAATCAAAGAAGAGATGGGTTGCAAGAATAAAAAAATTCAAGGATTGAATTGCATTATTTTGGAAGATGGAGGACTTGAAAAATAATTTAACTATTAATGGTATCAATTGGTGACTGATTTGACCCATACATGCATGCATGAATTAGAGTTCTTATAAAAGTGGCTGCAGACACTGGTTGGCTTGGCAGAGGAATTGGAGTCCTTTTTAGAGTCTTTTTTTAGTCAACAAAAGTGGTTCTAGGTTTTGATATATATGTATTCATAGCTTAGAATATTGTCCAGTATATTTATCTTCTTTCCTATAAAACAAATTTTAGTAGTCCAAATAACTTTCCTAATTCACGTCATAATATCTAACTATAACTCGAATGTGTTCATTTATTTGTAACTTAAGTCATACATTATTTATAACAAACTTTCTTCTATCTCATATTTATAGTACATTATTAATTATTAGATACTTCTACTAGATCCATTGCATAACAAAATCCAAATTTTTATTTTTGTGTGAGCATATTCTTTGAGTGAGACATTTTCAAATAATATTTTCTCGAGAATCACCAACTTTAGCTCCCATTTTTTAACTTAAAACCCCCTTTATTCTCACAAAATACATGCCGCACAAACTATCCTCCAATAGCACAAATCCACCTTTGATTTATTAGCAACCCTCATCACAGAGCAAAGTAGCAAAACCAACACATCTTACCATCAAAACTTTGACCAGTCCCCATAAATACTCTGTATTTTCAATTTTCCAATGTCACAACTACGAAGCACAAAAAGGAAAAGTGTTGGGTTTTTTTTATACCCAATAAATGACGAAAAATCAGTGTCAGGAATTTTATCGACCCCAAAGTGATAGCTTGATTTGAAAACAATTAACACTTTGGATGGCCCAAGTTACTTTAGCCCATTGGCTAGAGTGACCTTTGATTGTTGGACCATTTGTTTATTGGGCAACTTGCAAAAATACCATTAAAATTAAAGGTCTTTTGAAAAATCATATGAAAAATTTTTTGGAAATAAAAAATACTGTCTAAAATTAAAAAGTGACACAATGTCACTTTTATTTATAAAAGCTGTCACCTTTTAAAAAAAAAAAAGTGACGCAATATCACTTTTAAAAATTTAATGTTAGTTTTATACTAAAATATGACATACAATCTCACTTTTATTATCTTTGTCACTAAAAAAATTGATAGAAATTTCAAGAAAACAACTGAAAAAAGTGAGAACCACTAAAGAAAAGTGACAACTACTTAAAAATGTGACAAAAATTCAAAAAAAGTGACAGAAATTAGAAAAAATGACACAAATTAGAAAAAAAAGTTATATAAATTCAAAAAAAAAAAGTGACAAAAAAAAAATTGATACATTTTTCCATATTCTTCTTGAGCAAACACCTTGCATGAATCAATCTAAATTATTTAAAGTTTTTCTTTTCATATTATTCTTATAAAATAGGGTTTGAATTTGTATGTTCAAATTTTCAAAATAAATAAATAAATTCACATATATATGCATCTAATTAATTGCTCCAATGAAATACTGTGATTTTTTTTTTAGAAAAATTACAATTTGTCATTTTTCACTTGTCCTTGAACAAACATATTGCATGTATCAATCTAATTGATTCAAAACTATTTTTTATGTGTTAACATAAAACAAGGCTTGAATTTTTATGTTTAAATTTTTAAAAATACGCATGTATGCATATAGTTAATTGCTAAAATAAGATAGTGTGACTTTTTTCAGAAAAGTGACAGAATGTTACTTTTTCACATTCTCCTTTCGTCAAATACCTTGTATGCATCACTTTAATTGATTCAAAACTATTTTTTCATATGTATTGATACAATCAATTTTTTCTCAAGTTCAACAATGTTATTTTCAAACATGTTTCCAAACACAATAGAAATTTTATAAATACGAATTATTTATATTATAAGGTTCAAACTAAACCTAATCACATTGTCAACAGGCTATTTGCTCCTCATTCAAACCAAATCGAATCCCTTACCTTTGATACTCATTCTTGTCTATGTTATAATTCTCATCTTGCATCTTCTTGGCATAAAAGTACAATTGAGCAGTCAAGTTTTGTCTAATTTATAACTTTGAGAGTTAGTTCAGTGGTCAGGCTTTGGGTTTGTTTTTCAATGGTCACCAGTTCAAGTCTTCTCAGAGCCATTGAGATGAGTACCCGACTGTAAATTCCAGGGCTCCGTGGGTTTAGTCGAGGTGCGCGTGAGCTTGCTCGAACACCCATGGTCATTAAAAAAAAAGGAGTTTTGTCTAATTTGTAGAATGTTAAATGTGTTTGGCATTTCATTTAACTTTTTATTGATGAAGCGTTGTACCTCTATCTCATTGAACATACGAAAATTCTTGTATTTCTGAACAAAGTCTTCTTTGCTCCTGAACTTGACAAGATCAAGAAAGCGAAGTAAGCGCTACAATTTTTGAGAGATAAACTAACATAAACTACCAGAAGGCTACATATAGATAAAGTTACCCATCAAACATGTAAACATATAGATAATAAATTTTCTCAACTAGTTCATTAATATGCAATAGTTACAATTGGTCCGTAAAAGACAGACAAATAAACAGAAAAACAAGTTGACTTCCATGAACTCCCCCACGCCCCCAAAACCCAACTCCCAAAGAAGAAATCTTCTTTTATCATGGTGGCGCAAAAGAACCCAAATGAATTACCTGCAACGCTACGTTTAACACAAAGCGTGATGGTCTCCAACATGACCTTTAATTCCATCTCTGCTTTCTCTGTTTTTTGTGCCATAGTTATAAAAACAAATCTCATAATTCTGATTAACTATCGGACTTTTTGGAAGTGAGGTGCGATTTCAAGGATTTGAAGTATTAGTGCGGAGTTTGGGGAGAGGGGGGGGGTGGGGGGTGAAGGCAATGAGAGAGGAGAAACTGGGACAGTGATAGGTGATCTTGAAAGTGGAGATTTTGAAACAAAGGCTAAAATATTTTTCTTTTTATACCTAAAAGTTAATACCGTAATTAATACATATGAAAGAAATATTAAAAGGATAAGTGCATTGATCAATTTTATGGCATCTACGACATATTAGGCCTAATTTTGCCCTTGTTTATTTGCCTTGGCCCATTTGGAAAAGTGTTTTTTGGCACGATCTTGTGATGACCTAAAGTCCACCAATACTTGGCATCCCAGGCAGCCGTTTCTTTGAGTTTGAATGAGGGTTTGTGTGTTTGCAAAGAGGAGAGAAATACAAATAGAGAGGCAGCCGAGTTTGTGATAAGATCTATCATTGTTTGTGGTTTCCTCTTGTTTTTCTTCTCTACCTTAGTGGCTGCAAACTAACCACCATTTCATCTCCTTTGGGCTGAAAGGGATTGCACGACAAAAAGAAAGAAAAGACAAGAAAAAGTGCTTAAACATAATGCACTCCGTGCAGAGAGTATTAAGGCAAGCTCACATAGGTACCAAACAACTGATCCATTCTGTGTTTCCAAGAACCCCTCCAATCTGTCGCTCGAGAAACTTAGCAACGCACGGATCAACAATGGACATTCGGGAATCCATTAGTAACCAGACTGACGTTTCTTTGTTTCTTGCAAAGCACTTGGTTTCTACCAAGGCCAAGGACGCCAACCTGGTGTTCTCGCCGGTGTCGATTCATGTTGTGCTGGGCTTGATCGCTGCCGGGTCTAAAGGCAACACGCTAGACCAGCTTCTCAGTTTTCTCAAGTCCACGGGAACCGAAGAGGTTAATTCTCTTTCATCCCAGCTCGTCACTCTCGCGTTCGCTGACGGTTGTTCGCTTGGTGGGCCCCAGTTGTCCTTCGCCAATGGCGTTTGGATTGATCGGAGTCTTTGCCTGAAGCCCACGTTTAAAGAAATTGTCGATAATTCTTATAAGGCTGCTGCCAGAAATGTTGATTTTCAGACAAAGGTTGGTTTTTTATTATGATCTAAGCAGAATTTGTGTTCGACGAAAAATGCAATTTTTGTTGATTTAATAAAGGCAATTGTTAATAGTTCTCTTTGAAAACATAATAATCCGTCTTAATTCCGTATGTTCTTTGGTAGTGATTAGTACTTTATTAACTCATGTGCCTTAAAGCGTCAACGTAGAAAATATAATGTCTTGAAAGCTACACTACGTTCAACTAGGAATTTGAAAATTTACAATGTTAACTGAGATCTATTGTTGTGGCATTCCTAGTTATTGAGTACCTTCCTGATTGATTTTAATGCGGACTGTCTTAACTGAGTTGTGAATATGCGGATGGTCATCCTTTAGTTGATAAAAATGTTATAAAATCATAGCAGGTCGAGCTTATCCGTAACCATGGTAGTGGTGAGTACCCGAATAATTAGATTGGGCTCGTCTTTAGTATTCTTGTCATTATTCCCCAAAATGGCCCCACAGTAAGAACTGAGGCTTATTTTTAGATCATTCCAGACTCATGGCTTGGTCATCCACTGTATCATGCTTCGTTCTGGGTTCAGTAGGTAATTAGGTTAGATGTTCCATCCTGCACTTGGCCGATCCTATCAAGCAGCTATTACCATCTTGGTTCAGCACTACCTTCGGATGGTTCATATTGGTTCAGCGCTAGATTTGTGTTGATGAACTAGAAGTCCTTGTTTCTGACTGTATTGTGGGCTCCCCTATTTTTTGTTGATCTTAGTGTTACTCTTTTATATTCTTATCCTCTTTTTTCATATTCTTCTTCTTCTCAGAGTCTTTTAGGAGGGGACTTGGGATTGGGAGGGGAAGGTTGTTACATGTACGACTTGAATTCATCCCCTGAATTGTGTTCCAAAACTTTTTATAGCTCAGGAAACATAGCATTTAATGTGAATAGGTCTGTCTTCAGTTAGATTATTGATTATATGTCCCAGTTTGGAGCTCGCAATAAGATTCGAGGTTTATTGTTCGGTCGTCCATTTTATGGCTTGGTCAGCTATTGGATCATGACTTGTTATGGGTTCAATCGGGCATCTTAGGTCAGACAACTGGCCCAGCAATTGGATGATCCTTTTTCTTGTTTTTTTTTGTCTTTTCCATTTTGGGAAGTCAAGATTGGTACATTTTAGAAGTTGAATTCAACCCCCAAACTGTGCTCCGAATCTTTTTTCACATCGCAGATAATAGAGGATGAAATGTAAGTACTGTTGCAATTAATAAATTAATAAATGAAGTTCAGCATTGATGTACCACGATCTTTTAAAATGAATTTGATACTGCTCATGGATTGTAGCTTTAAGAATCACCTGTACTTATAAGCAGTATTTTGCAGTCTCACTTAAAAGCTTTCCCAGCTTTGCCAACAATGAAGTATATTGGGATATTCTAAAATATGCTAATTCATTATTTTCGAATAAATGTTCTCAATAGTACATTTTCCTCTCTTGATGGTTCTATAGGCTGTCGAGATAACAAAAGAGGTGAATATGTGGGCTGAAAAGGAAACAAGTGGCCTTATCAAGGAAATTCTTCCATCTGGCTCAGTTGATAATTCTACGAGGCTCATTTTTGCAAATGCAGTTTATTTTAAAGGAGCCTGGAATGAGAAGTTTGATGCTTCAAAAACGAAAGATGACAATTTTTTACTCCAAGATGGGACCTCGGTGCAAGTACCTTTCATGACAAGCGAAGAGGAGCAATATATACGTGCCTTCGATGGTTTTAAAGTTTTAGGTCTTCCATACAAGCAAGGCGACGACAAACGCAAGTTCTCCATGTATTTCTTTCTTCCAGATGCCAAAGATGGACTGCCAGCTTTAGTTGAAAAATTCAGCTCTGAACCCAGATTTTTAGAGAATCACCTCCCGCATCGACGAGTAGAAGTGGGTGCCTTTCGTATTCCAAAATTCAAGATATCTTTTGGGTTTGAAGCTTCTGAACTCCTCAAGGGACTGGGATTGGTCTTGCCTTTTTCTAGTGGACTCACTGAAATGGTTGACACTTCCAGTGGTGAGAACCTTTGTGTTTAGAGCATTTTCCACAAATCATTTATTGAGGTAAATGAGGAAGGCGTAGAAGCTGCAGCTGCTACTGCTGGTGTCTTGATGGTGACTAGTTTGAGAAGGAAGTATAAGTTGGATTTTGTGGCTGACCATCCATTCTTGTTTGTGGTAAGAGAAGATAAGACCAGGTTTTTACTATTTGTTGGGCAGATTCATAATCCCATCTCCGGTTAATATATATGTACACACAAGTATCTGTAAATAAGCATGCGTAGGTAGATGAAGGCTTACATATGTAAGTTATATATATTATATTCCTCTCGTAATCGGTATCACGACGTCCTTTTACCAAGATTATTGACATATTTTCTTGCCAATGGAAGGCTACAATAGACGATGGTAACTTTGAGTAAAATTTGGATTCAGAATTTCAAAAATGGTTTGCGTTATTGTATGCAATCTGCCTCCACTTTTCTCAATCTGCAACAAGCATTTATCAGCTGGCAATTGTATATTCCTCGAAATGCTACCCTTAATTCGCTGAATTTTCTAGATACATGTTGCAATTAACACCGACCCTTTCCATGTTATACCCCATGGTTGCCCCAAAACCTAGATGACATATCAGAGAAATATAATTGGTTTTAGAATACATTGTATGGCTCTAGCTGCAAAGATCCTCAAAGGCGCATACAACGTAGTAACTCAGTCATGAAGCAATGAAACTTTGACAAGCTCGACCTTGGTAGTGACCAGATTCATGCGCCTATGAAGAATTTTAAGGCCGATCTTGACAGCAAGTGGACCAACTACAGCCATGAAAATTCTCTAGAAGTGACTACACAATGGTTGCCAATCAGAACTGCTACTCCATAGTAACTGAGGCCACTTATATATATATATATATATATATATATATATATATATATATATATATATATATATATATATATATGTCA